TAGTAGAATGAAAGTTTAATTACAACATTTCATAAACTCATCCAAACTTCCATTCCATCTTGAACAAATAGATGTAGTTGAAAGGGAAAACTCATATTTAGACGGAAACTTATCAAATAAAAATAAAATTTTTAGAATTGGACAAACATTGGAATGATAATTTATAAATATGAAGGATTTTTTTTTTATGGAATGTTTTTTCAACTTTCATTTCTCGCGGGAATTTTTCTGTTGGATGATGAGTGTTTGTGCCTCCTTCCGTTTCGATGATGAGCGTGATCGCGCCATCTTCCCTGAGGTATCAGGATCTTCGGATAACCACCACTGTCGATCGTTGATGAGAAATTGTATGCCAAAAGTACAAACAAACAAAATCTCCAAACGCCAGTAAATAAATCTCCAAAAACGCTGTATGGAATCTCCACGCTAAAAAATTTTGAATCGCCAAATGACATAGCCCAGGAAAAAACAGAAGAATAAGATATGGTGGATGAGAGATGGTAGTCAGATGAAGATATGAGTTGAAGAAAGTATAGAACAGAATATAGAAAAATAAACAAGAAGGATAAATGAAACACGTAGATTCAGTGCCGATCATCACGGGTACCGCCCGCAAATTCGAAGCACCGTGCCTTGAGATACACACTTGCAATATTAGACAAAACGTGTGAGGTTTTACTATCGCAACATACACGTCATATCCATGACATGCGACAACTATCACGATTGCCCTTCTACCTTACTGCTCAGGTAATCATTTAAGCCACTGTCTTTGGATTTATACCCTATTTTCCTTCTCCTCCCCACCTACTTGTCCACATGCCCTGCAACGTCCTCATCATCGTTTCCTCTGTGTCTCCCGTAGTCTTGCTCTGTACTGCTCTTTCTGTCATAGATTTTTCGTTATCGTCGATTTGTTGTATATAACGTTACATCCTAGTGTCCGCTTCTTTGTTATTGTCTATTATCTGAATTTCCATACTCATACATTCAGAGACTATCCCTATGATCGTATTTCCGTCGAAGTTTTTCGTATATCCGTCGTGGATTACTGACTTGTGTCATGGCTTTGTTTTTGTTTCATGCTTTTGTTTTATTTTTCGTGTGGTCATGAGTTTCGTCATTATCTTCTCAGGTGAGTACTTTTCAACTTCCATCGCTTGTTTCTCCCGAAAACATCTTGTTGATTTTGATTCGCTTCATTTCTAAGCTTATGCTGGAAAATCCGTACGGCCCTTCTTGCATCATTATATCTGTAGATATTTGTTTTTTAGTGTTTTTGTAGCGTTGCTTGTTTATTTTATTTTATTTACCTTTTCAATTCCTGTTCAGTGCTTCTTCTGCTTTCAGATACTTACGAAATATATTTCGTACTCTTGTGTCCTTGCAGTTTCTGATGAAAGCCCAGATTGTCGTTCGGGTAATTCTCCATGGTAGTCCATCAGTCTAAGTTCTCTACAAAACAACTTTAATACCGCGGTTAGATCTGCGACCTCATATGTGTTCGCTACCATTCTGTGAAACGTACCAATTATCGTCAGCAGTTTTGTCTTTTCGGAACCAGCACTCCTGAAGTGACGCAATGTCCTGAGAGAGAGAGAGAGAGAGAGAGAGAGAGAGAGAGAGAGAGAGAGAGAGAGAGAGAGAGAGAGAGAGAGAGAGAGAGAGAGA